GAAGAATGGATGAAGAAAGTATGGAATATATACATATTAGAGTACTACTCAGCAGTAAAAAACAAGGACTTCTTGAAGTTTGCAGGCAAATGGATGGAAATAGAAAACACCATCCTGAGTGAGGTAAGCCAGACCCAAAAAGAGGAACATGGGATGTTCTCACTCATATTTGGTTTCTAGCCATAAATAAAGGACATTGAACCTATAATTCGGGTTCTTAGAGAAGCTAAATAAGAAGGAGAACCCAAAGGAAATCATATAGGCATCCTCCTGAATATTAAAGAGTGGATTTATTATTTAACGTCGTTATCCTCTCAAGTTCCATGTGATAGAAAGTTGAACCAAAGCTGGCTGTTGAGATTCCAGTGATGAACACTTTTCCATGCAGGAGTCTGTGGGATGATCTTTTCTGGGGTCATTTACTGAATTTAAAAATAGTCTGATCTTATTCTAGCCACTTGATCCTCCTTATCAGTCCTCCATAATTTCTTCACGGAACTGAATCAAGTGTGCTAGTCTTTCTATTTGTGTTTTCATCGTTGTCCTCTTAAGCGAAACCACCTCAACTGCTATCAACTGGAAAGAATTTTTCTTGGCTAAATATAATAGATGTGTTTCTGAAACACTGCATGCAGATTGGATTTTTATAAACTATATCACATTTATACTTAGACTATAATTTCAGAAGCAGGGTACAAAAGAGTGCACTTACTTCAAGAAATGGGAAAATAATTTCTGATATCTACTAGCAATTATTGAATGGATGGGATTTCATCATTTCAGTTTATATAGAACATAGCAGAATAAGATCAATACAATAAAAGGACTTGAAAAAAAACAAATACAATAAAAACAAAACAAAACACCGCGTAATGGAGGTAATACTTTACCTGGATATCAAACACATTGTTTTGGAAACACTACCTACAACTTTCACTCATAGATAACAAGATTGTAACCCAATTTTCTGTAATTTGCAACTAGATTATTTTGACACTTTGAAATTATCTTCTAGAACATTCAGTCTATGTCTGTCCTGTCCTGACCTTTATGAGAGCTTCTACTTCCTCTTCTCAACACAAGTCAGTGTGCTTCAGGATATAGAATATGTTGAAAACTAAAACGGGAACATATTCCAGATGTAGAACAGAACTGATTCTCTTCTGTGTGTTCAAAACCAGGCACTCCATCCACACGTACAATAGTGGTCATGGCACTCTATCCACATGTACAGTAGTCGTCATGGCGCTCTATCCACATGTATAGTAGTCGTTATGATACTCCATCCACGTGTACAGTGGTCGTCATGACATTCCATCCACGTGTACAGTAGTCATGACACTCCATCCACGTGTACAGTGGTCGTCATGACACTCCATCCATACATACAGTAGTCGTCATGGCACTCCATCCACACGTACAGTAGTCATGACACTCCATCCCCATGTACAGTAGTGGTCATGACACTCCATTCATGTGTACAGTGATCGCCATGACACTGCATCCACGTGTACAATAATCTTCATGACACTCCATCCACACATACAGTTGTCATGACACTCCATCCACATGTACAGTAGTTGCATGTCACGCCACACCAGAACCAGGAGGACTATCAGTGAATGGCTCTATTTCCACATTAAGAAAAGAATGGCTTTGAGAAGCTGCATTTAAATACTTGCGTGACACTGGGAAAGGTTCTTAGCTTCCCTGCACTTCAGCCTTTCTACAAAATAAGGGTCCTTCCAGAGTCACTTGAGGTCAAAAACATGTTTAGCACCTTCCAACATCAGCTACAAACTGATAGGAAGTCTACGCTACTAGAGTTCTTCTCCACCCTCTTCCATTTGGAATGGGGCTGAGGCAAGAAAACCAAGAGCTTCGGAATAATCTTCTAGACAATGGTGCCCTTAAAACTGGAATATCTGTCTGCCTTCATGGTTTCCTTAACACTGACTGGCTAAAGAGGCAGCACAGATTCCCAAAGCTGGATTCTAGTCCTGGCTCAGCCAAGAGCTATGTGACCAAGGCAGGCAAGTGTCCCCCCACTTCCCTAAAATGGCCATATCAGATGGGGATCATCTGCGTGGTTCAGCCTCTGTAAGAGGCTGTGATTCATCTGCCTAGGACACAAGAAACACATTCCATCCCTGCTTTGCAAGGCTCTTTCTTAATATTTCTGTCAGGCAGAGCGTGAGTTAAAGAAGCATATGGCCAGTTGATGATTTTGCTTTTCCTCATTCTCTGTTCCATTTTTCAGGGTCTTGTCTTTAAGACACATGCAAGCTCGAGCGAGGGAAACCTATAACAGACTCGCTTTCAGTCAAGATGGGTTGAAATGCATCAAAGAAGTCGATGATGAGAGATAACAGTTGGTTGGCTTGTGTCCTGGGCCATGTACCTCTCCACATCATATTAAAACTTGAAAACCTCTTTGAGTAGCAAAAGCAGCTTTTCTGTACCTTCAGTATGTGCCATCAGGAAACAAAATAAACCTCCTGAAATTCATTCAGAGGAGACTGGTTGCTGCTGGTTGCAGCTGGTTTTGTCAGGCTGCAGTAGGAAGAAGGGTGTGCAGGCATTCCCTGTACACATCCTCCCTGCTTACATGCTGAGCCAAAACCTGAAAAGCTATCGTTTATTAAACATCATTTTGGCTCCTGACTAATCTTCCTTTCTCATCAGTTTTTGTTTCCAAAGTGATTGAAAACTTGACATCAACAAATGTTAATCAACTCTCAGCAACTGCCAGCGTCTCAGGTCAGCCTGTTAGAACAAGGAAAATAAAACGTGGACAAAGCACAATGTTTGCCTTTAAAGAAGCCGATGGGTAAATGGCCTCCCAAACAGCATGATGTTTTGAGTGGTAAGAATTTTAAGAAAGGAGAACCTACCCAACATTTTTCAGAGGCTTGATATACAGTTTCCCTACAGATCAAACCACTTAGTTTACTGGGAAGGACACTGACAGGCCTGATGGGCTCCACTCTGCCCATCTCCCACAACTATAACTTCTTACCATGGTTGCTAGACTTTTTGATTTCAGTCAGAGCAGGATCGGAGCAGGCAATGGCTGGGTCAAAGTTGGCAATGCCTTCTGCCTAATTCTGGCGAATGAGTCAGAGGTTAAGAGCGACTCGCTCAGCTCAAGAAGCTCACAAGAGATCTTTAGTCACAGTCTGGGGGTGGATGGTGGGACTGGGACAGGGTGTCTTCTTCCTGCTACAGTGTTTGCTCATGAGGTGAGAATTCCACAGTTGCATTTTATGGCTGGAGCTCAGGACTGAAAGTTAACTTACAAGTTGGTACTTGGGCTCTGAGATCTGTACTGCTAAGCTTCTCCCACAAACTGTGCTGTTGCTGAGACATCAGCACAGAGGCAGTGACCCAGATTGGAGTTTAGATATGCTCTTTGAAAATGACTACTGATATACACAATCATACACCAAACAACATGACCAAAAAACAAGATGGTGGCGTGGACTCTTGCTCATTGCCTTCCCACAAATGTATTCTCCAGTATCCACTGGGGAGTCTGGAAGGATCTTCAGGCAGGAGCCTCATATCTGGGCAGCCCTGAGTCTGATATAAGAGGGCTTCCTAGAGTCCAGCGTGGGCCCCATAGCTACCTCCAATGTGACCTGTGCACCTTTTCACATTCTAGGAATGAGTACCTGGTATCAGGCAGGCTGCCCCAGGCTTGTAGCAAGTGACCTGTGAGTGGGCTTGTCCTGCCACCACACAGTTGAGATTCAGGGTCTGACCTTCAGCCACTGTGGAAGATAAAGGCTCAGTTCTGACAGACAGGACAGGCTCAGGGACTCTAGGACAGATAAAGGCAGTAGATATTTCCTAAGGGATCTATCACCTGCAATGGAGAAAGGGTTGCGAGATTATCGAGATTATACTAAATACATAATCTGATATTTCTCACCTAAATGTACATGAATCTTACCATGATCTGAATTTTGAGCTTACTGGAGGCAGTATTGTAACATTTTCCCATGAAATGTAGTGGAGAAACACAAACACAAGCAAGATACTTGAGAGTGGTTGGGGCCATAGCTCAGTGGGTAGTGCTCCCTCCACACACATGAGGCTGGGTTCTGTCCCTAACATTGCATAACTGAGAAATACACTCCAGTTCTGCTTTGCAGGACTTTTTCTTAAAATACGTCAGACAGAGAGTGAGGTAAAGAAGCAAATGGCCAGTTGATCATTTCGAATCCATTTCCTCACTCAGAATAAATGAAGTGGCTTGTGCCTTTAATCCCAGTACTGGTGGGTGAATGCAGGAGGACCAAAAGACGAAGATCATCCTCAGCTACATCAGAATTTGAGGTCAGGATGGAGTATATGACATACCGTCTCAATAAAACAAACAAAACAAACTTGAGGGTCCCTATCTTGTCCCCCCTTCTTGCTTTCTCAGTACTGGTTTTCTGATTGCAGACCTGATGATTTATCCAGTCTCCTCCTACTTCCTGCCTCTCAATCCCTTCCTCCTCCACCAGTCAGATTAGTAGTCCTGAAATCACCTATTCTTTTTTAAATTATTTTTTAATTTTATAAACCTTATTATAAAATATCTTGCAAGTAAAATAAAACCTCACACACCAAAATTAAATATTCTATATACTTATCCACCATCAAAACAAAAACATTCATGATAGAATTAAAAGTAGATGAATGATTAGCTTTATGAGCATTCAAATTTCACACTTAAAGCTTTTGGGCTCGCAGAACTAGGGGACGCAATGGAGGTAGGTTGGAGCCGCTGCCGTAGCCATGACCCGAGGTAACCAGCGAGAGCTCGACCACCAGAAGAACATGAAGAAGCAGAGAGACTCTGGAAAAGTTGAGGGAAAGTGCCAAGATGATGGGTTTTCTGTTGCGGCCTGCAAGCAGAGGGACTCAGAGATCATGCAGCAGAAGCAGAAAAAGGCAAATGAGAAGAAGGAGGAACCCAAGTAGCTTTGTGGCTTCGTGTCCAACCCTCTTGCCCTACGCCTGTGTGCCTGGAGCCAGTCCCACCATGCTTTTTTCTGTAGTGCTCACAGATCCCAGCACCGATGGCATTGCCTTTGCCCTGAGCCTGCAGCGGTTCCTTTTATGCTTCCTTTCCCTCAGGTAGTCTCTCTACCCCTGGGCCACTCCTGGGGGCGAGGGGGTTACCCCTTCCCAGTGTTTTTTATTCCTGTGGGGCACACCCCAAAGTATTAAAAGTAGCTTTGAAAAAAAAAAAAAAAGCTTTTGGGCTCCACTATACCAATTCAGTGTTCTTTTATCAAGTCAATCTGGGCTTCACCATAAAGCTTTTCTGGATGGAAATCTAGCCAATAATTGTGTGTGTGTGTGTGTGTGTGTGTGTGTGCACAACAAGCAAATGCATCTGTGAGTATAGTAAAACATGAGAACCAGAAAGGCTAAATATAAGGAGGTGAAGAAGGACCAAATAGATGTGTTAGTCCCAAAGATGGAAGGAAAAGAACCACCAACCCAAATGGAGGGGTTTGATGGGCAAAATAGCAAGTTAGCCATACTGGCCCCCTGGAACAAAGACATGGTCACAAGGTGGTCATAGTAAGGTAGGCATAACAGCAGGAAGTCATAACAACCGTTTGAAACAAAGGTAGGGTGGTGGTTTCCAGAACAGGTAGTACAGAACCACCTGCAGTTGATGTTACAGGATACATACCCCAACTTTTGAGAAACAGAGGTTTAGTCAGAAGCAGGAATGAGCCTAGTTTCTCTTTATGGGTTTTAAGCTAGGATGGAGGCAGGTTGGTTCAGCAGTCGCCTACATTTCTACTCAACCTAATAAGACTTGGGTCTTGGTTCCAATTGGATGCTCCTTTCTCATCTTCATAGCATTGAGTAAAAATGGGGACTTTGAAAGGCTTGTAGTTTTAAATGTGCTTTTTTATCTTAATATTTTAAAATCAACTGTATGCTTCCTGTTAGGAGAAATAAACGTATTAATGTAGAGGAGGAGGAGTAGAAGTAAGCCCAGCAGTCTGTGTGCACTGTTTTCACAATTCTAGCACTGGATAAGACGCTCGTAGCTTATTAACTCATAGGCGGATGTTTGCAGGGCTTGTGTGCTACTTGACTTTGCTAAAAAGCCAAGGTGTTATGGTCTGCTGGTCTGGCCTGTCACCTGGGTACCAGGTCCCTTTAAGAGACAAGTCCCGCCCACTCCTAGTCTTTCCCCTCCCACTTCTGTCAAGGCAAGCAGATCTCCTGCCCCCTCTCCAGCCTGTGCGCTCTCTCTCTCTTTCCAAATGTCTTCTAAAGAGGTAACTGCTGCCTCCCTATCCCCCTCTCTCTTCTCTCCTCCCCCTCTCTTTTTTCTTCTCCATCTCCCCTTTCTCCCTTCCCTTTCTCTTCCATAACCCACTAAGTAAACTCTATACTCAAACTCTCTCTGCATGACCTGTCTGTCTCTCATCCTCTGCAGTCTCCCACCGCCAAGGGGACCCACGGTTGCCTCAGGTGACTGCCACTGCTCAGCTGAGGCCTCAGGTGATCCACTGCAGCCCCACGTGGGACCGGCCTTCCCTCCCACTGTATCTTTATAAAGGAATAAGAGAGGGCTGATGTCATGGTTCCTTGTGCCCTCCCCACCCCGTTTAAGTTAATTGCACATGTGTAGGCATTTGGCTTGCATGTATGGCCTATGCACCACTTGTATGCCTGGTGCTCACAGAGGCCAGAATACAGTATTGTATCCCCTGGAGCTGGAGTTACAGGTTCTTGAGATGGGCACTGGGAAGGGACTGCAGGTCCTCTAGAAGAGCATCTAGCGCCTTAACTGAACTTTCTTCCAGCACACTGGGCTTCTTGATGATTCTGAGTTTCATCTGCTTCCGAAGAATAGTTTTTAGGCTGGGGGAAAATGAGCAAAGCTCAATGAGATAATCCATGGGAGAAAAGAGTGATGGAGACTCAGAGTCCCTTTAAGAGTGAGCACGGACGATTCCAGAGTGGACTGTGGCAAGAAAACATTGTTTAGTACAGAGGTGTAACTGAACTCTGAGTTCTTTAGACACAAAGATTCTCCATTCTCTTGGGAAATCGTTTTCACAGTCATTGCTTGCTTTTGGCCCAGAGGATGGCTTCCAGAAAACTCCCTCTTTAAAGTCCCAGGGGAAGCCACTTCCTCTTCCATCTTTGCTCTTCCTGTATAGATGAGGGATGGATCCCACATGAGCAAGAAGCATAGTTTCTGAATCTTCAGAGGCTCTGCTTTCCATGGACGTCATATTCATTGCAGTCACACTAGGAAGAGGGACAAGAGACTGGCATCAGCCCCCCCCCCCAAGTTCTTATTTCTGACCCTAAAGTGAGATTAAAGTTTAAATAGCCAAGAATATATACATCTCATCAATCAAGGTGTGGTCCCACTCACCACTAACCTGTTGTTACTCAATCTCCAGTCTCATCCTGTGCAGTAATCTAACAAATTGTTAGAACCATGTGAGACTTCTTTCCTGGAGACAAGTTCCCCTTCTGGCTGGCACCTGGTCATTCTCCCAGAATGAGATTCCTGGGGAAATCCCCATTTGTTTGGGGTTCGTCGCATCAATAATTTGTTAGCCAGATTGAGAGAAACAAGCTCTTTAAAGGAAAAATTCCTTTCCTCGTCTATTAATTGCTGGGGTGTGTGCATGCCATGGTGTGCAGGACTGAGGGAGTTGCTTCTTCCTCTACCATGTGAGTCCCAGGGACTGGGCTCAGGTCATCGGATTTGGTAACAAATTCCCTTGTCTATGAATTAGGGATGGAGGGAGTGTCTAATTCTCACAAATGAAGTGAGATCTGTTTGGAGTCTAAAGGGGAATGGGCTCTGGGGAAGCAACATTGAAGTACCACTACTGACAAAAGCAGCCCAAACAGTGTAGCTTTAGTAGATAGCAATAGTGACATTGGCTGGCAGAGTGACCATGACCTTGGGGCTGACCTCTTCTCCCAAAAGAGGAAAATAAATAAGAAGAAGCAAATCAGCTTTTTTTTTTTATTAAAAAAAAACCCATAATATGTTTTAACTCTTTATTGAGAAAGGTTTTAAGCATAGGACGGTGTTAGAGATTTACATACTAACTTCTGTGCAAATAAACTTGCAGAAATGGTTTGTCTTTGCTTCTGTTCTGTACTAGTCTCTAAGAGCAACCATTTAGCATCCTTAAATACGGGGAGACAATACAAAGTGACAGCGTGTGTATTGGGGGCTGTGGTACCTGGATAGGATCCCTTTGTCCTACCACAGAACCCTGACGTCTTCCCAGGAAGTCCCTCAGCTGTCCCGGGGCTCAGTTTCCTCTTCTACAGGTGCAGCAGCGATGCTGTGAGAAGCAGATGCGTTATGGAAAGGGTTAGGATGGCACTGATCCTGTCTAATGTGTTTGAGAGATAGCTTCCTCCGGGTGACAACAGGAGACTCCAGCCCCTACTCCGCCCCAGTGCACTGACCTTGACACCTTCCTCCACTGCCTCCTTGGTCTCAGAGTCTTTTCCCAGTGATATTCAGGGAGGTCTTGAAGACCTGGACTTTGTTCTCTCCACACACGTGGTTGCTAGCCTGTGACTTCAGAGCTTGGCCTTTCAGATTTCACAGAAAACAAAATGGAAGGGTAGCATGGCCAGCTGTCCAGTGTCTGCTGGGGAACATCCCCTCCTTCCCCACCATTTTTCATAGTCCACCTATCCTTGTGCGCAATTGCATTCCTCTCTGGCACATGCTACTTGCCAACTCTATCAGCAGTAATTGTTCTGCTCTAGTCCACTGCAGCATACCTGCCAACAATCTGAGCGGTGCAGGTGGTGGAGCGCTGTCTGCCCCTGTTTGAGGCACCCTATGGTGGCTACCTAAAGTGAAGCTCTGACACCATCCACAAAGACGACAAGGACAGGGCCCAGCTTGTGCCAGCACTGCTCAATTTGCCTTCTCTTTCGTCCTTTATGTATTTGTTTATTGTTTTTCCTTCTCTTTTAAACAGCCCCATCCCCCTTATCCCTCCAGGGAGGTAAGATACGGGCACCACTATGAGAGGAGACACTGGAATGACAGCCCTCTCAGTCCAGCAAGACACAGGTCTCTCTTCCCAGCCCAACCCACTGGCGGCTCCTTCTGACTCAGGAGGAGCACTTTTTTCTCCTGACTTTTGTCAACAGAGATATCTTTCAAAAATGTATTCTGAATTCCTTTAGGGAATGTGGCAGATAGCAGATAAAAACGATGGTTTTGCTCTAACATACCATTTTTGCTCATCGATTCCCTTTTCTTTATTTTTCTGAAGAAAAAAAAGAAAGAAATACTTTGGGATGGAATTTTCTAAGATTGGACTGAATTTAACCATTATCTAAAAGAAAAAAAAACTTCATTATTTTAAAATTGGTGAGCTACATTCTTTCAATTATTTTTGAATTATGGAAAAAACACAGTTTTCCCACCAGGACAATGGACTCCAGCCATTTGCTGGTCTGACTCAAACACAGCGATCAGCGCCTATCTGAGCACCCTGGTGTTCTGTGGATAGTGAAAAGGGATCCCAATTTGAAGTGGTGTGTCCACAGCTCTCCACATCACGCTTCTGAAATTGCAAGGCTGAGAGTGCAATTATTACATTTTTGTCTCAATGGTTTTTAGAGTACTTCTGCTAAAACTCTCACTTTCAAGCAGACCAATCAAGCCTCAGTGGTCAAAAGGCCAGAGGCTTTCTCTGATCGCTCTCTGTAAAGTGCCCTACGAGGCCTTGGGGGCCTGTGGGTTTCCCGAGTGTCATGTGATCCTGATCCTTCCTCTAATGTCTCCACTCTTCTTTATGCACTTTCTTTCCAAATGTGAGTCTTCTTGGTTTTCCTTTTCTTATTATTAATTTTTCAAGGGCAAAACCTGAAGTCTTAGGACATACAGGTGGCCTTGGTCACCCTGGTCAGATGAAGGGCAGGGTCCATGTTTGAATTCCTTTTCTGCCCCTGGGCTCTCTATCAGCTACCCATTAGATATTCAGCACTCAAAATGGCTGCCACAA